CGAAAGGAATTGGTTATAAATTTAATATTTTTAAATAAAAAAATATAAAATTAACATCCATATTTACGATTTGGAGCGGAATTCATGCTTCTTGTGTGTCCTTCCTTCTCTCCCTTCAGTTGCATTCTGTAAAGAGGTACGGAGATTCTTCTTCATTGATACAACCTCCATTCTTTGTTTAACAATTATCAACATGCATCCGGAGCACAACAATGGTAACAATCCCCTGAAGCGAAGCTTTGGTCAGATGAGCTCTGACCCACCTGATACCATGGCTGTGGACAACAATGATCTTGTTAGGAAACACCCTTCTTCACCTTCATCTGATGATTTGATGCCCAGAGAGTTAGCTCTTTTCTTTCTGTTTTTATCTTTTTCCTCTGTTTTCATTTTTAAAATTTTTAGTTTGGGATTTTTGTGTTGGTAATGTGAGATTGAGAAACATGCATTGTGTTGGGTTTCTTACAGTTATCTATTGAGGGTGTATGAAGTTGCTAAGAAGAGGAACATAATAGCAGTACTTGACACAGCTCCGGGGAAGGCCATGATTGCTGTGATGTTGATCAAGGATGTTGCTCAAGCCGTAAAGTCTAGTGGCAATAAAAAGTTAATAATTTTCTTGGCACCCACTGTTCATCTTGTTAATCAGGTTTGTTCTTGCCATCTACTGCATAGTTTTCCTCAAATATTATCCCATTTCCAATTTCTTTTGGTGGTATCCTAATGTGGTTGATTTCATGTCCTTAAAAGTAGTGGAATTTGTTTCTTGCAGCATTTTGATTATGTAAGGCCTTATACGAATTTGGATGTGGAGCAATATTTTGGAGCTAAGGGGGTTGATGCATGGAACTTGAGTCGCTGGGAGAAAGAAATAAGGGAGCATGATGTGAGTTTGCTTTTGAAAGAGCTTAAAGACTGATTTTCTCTGGATTCAAGATAATGTCAATGCTTGGCTACTCTATTTTCGATGATTACTTTTCGGTTGAAGTGTGCTGTAGAAACCTCACCTGTGCTTCTTCCATTTTAATTATTCTTGATATTTTTTTTATTTCTGCTAATCTATTAGCATTTGGCTTTTAATCTAAGTCATCCTTAAGCAAACTCCTTGACTACTGCCCCTTATAGTGTGCATTTATTTGATTAAAATATTTTGCTTTAGAATACAGGCTTATCTTTGCTTTGTCCTTTTGTAGGTTATGGTCATGACTCCCCAGATTCTCCTGGATTCCTTGAGTAAAGCATTTTTGAGTCTGGAAATGGTGTGCTTGATTGTAATAGATGAGTGCCATCGTGCTACTGGAAATCATCCATATGCAAAAATAATGAAGGTCAATATCGTCTCTTTCCAGACTCTATTTTGTTGTTTGTTTATGTCTTCCTTCATGTATCATTCATTTTTGTTATGATTAAGAAAACATCTTAATGCGCTATTGGTTTGGTGAAGGAATTCTATCACAAATGTAATAACAAGCCCAAGATTTTTGGAATGACAGCATCATCTGTAGGTAGGAAAGGTAAGATAACATCTTTTCAGCATGATATTTAATTTATTGTGACAACTGGTGCTGCATTGCTCTTTATCTTTAACATGATTTCTTTTATAAGTTAAAGTTCTGTACCTAATAGATGCTCAATTTATTACATTTAAGTTTCTATGGTGTTTTGAAGTCATTTCTTATTCTGAAAAAGTTAAATCAGGTTTCTAGTTAGAGTCAGATCTACTTAAACGTGTAAATCTTACATAACTTACTGACAGTTGATTTCCAAATCCAACAGTTTGAGATATATTACAAAATATAGCACCATCATGTTCAACTGTTAGATTTGAAAATCAATAGCTGATAATTTATGGAAGACTTATGCATGTGTAAGTGAATTCTCACTCTTCTGCTATCCTATCCTTATTAGGTGTCTCAACCCATTGAGGAACAAATTTTAGAAAAGAAATTCAAAAATTAGACTGTTGCTTATTCTCGGTTTATTACCTTTTTTTTACCTTATTTGCTTATTGGCAACTGATATCAATTTGGTTCTATCCATTTAGAGTCTTTACATATTGTTATGCCTTTATAATGTGACTTTGCACACAGGTTTCTCATCTGCCATGAATTGTGAGGGTCAAATGTCTGAACTCGAAACCATTTTGGATAGTTTGTTCTTTTGTTTTCTAGAAACAAAATCATATGTTGTGGATGCGACAGGAACTTCTGTTACAACAGATTCTAGTGTTGACCTCACCAATCAATATTGTGGAAAGCTTCCTGGTAACGAGTAAGGGCATCTTTTCTTGTCAAGTGTTACAAATGGTTCTTCACTTGATATGATCTCTCTCTCAGTTAGAATAGTCCTAATTGATCACTTTTGTGCTGTAGCTCCTCTACACCACAGCCAACTTTTGAGTTTTCATTTGTGGGAGGGCTATATGAGTGTAGATTGACATTGCCTGCTAATTCAGCTTTTCAAGAAATAGTCGGTCCAGCGAGTAAAACTTCTCTTTTAGCAAAACAGCTTGTCTGCTTGGAAGCATGTAAGAAGCTTCATCAGTTAGGTGCTTTGGACAACCATCTTCTCCCATCAGTTGGAATTCCTTCCAAAAGTGATCTTAGTTTGAGCAGTAAAGTTTCTGATTCAGGTGTGGGGATTCGTGATAATATTCCTGATACTAATTTTTTTAATGTATTTATTCATTTCTGACTGTTAGTTTGAACCTTGATTTTATGTGTTTGGAAGCATCTAAGAAGCTTCACCAATTAGGTGCTTTGGACAATCACCTTCTCCCTTCAGTTGAAAAGCCTTCCAAAAATGATCTTACCATGAAAAGCAAAGATTCTGACTCAGGTGCAGGTATTCACAAATGACAACAACAAGAGGAGATCGATTGTTATTAATATATTTTTCATTTTGTGACTGTTTATTCGAGCCTTGATTTCATTTCTTTTGAGTTTTGTACAAATTAAGTCATTTTCTTCCTTTTTTTCTCTTTCCTCCTAAATTTTACTTTACAAAGGAACAACGAAAAGGAAGGAACTACACGGGACAATTCAAATTCGTGCATTGTCTGGAAGTTGGGGCGGAAAACTTGACAATTCTATTTTTCAGGCCTACAAATTTGACTTTTCCTGCAACATTTTTACCGAGGTTTATTCTGGATTTGTTCTTCTGATTGAGTCAAAGCTTGATGATGATGTGGGAAATCTGGAATTGAATCTTTACTTGGTTGGGAAGATGGTTAAGACATCAGTTTCTTTATGTGGCCAAGTGCAATTTGACGCCAAACAGGTGTAAACATGAGCTTATAAAATACCAATGTTGTTGCTTCTCTAATTAAAATGCTTATTTGATGTTATTATTTTAATTTTCTTCTTTCCTCATCATCCTCCAGATGATGAAAGCAAAGTGCTTTCAGGAGTTTTTCTTTAATGGCTTGTTTGGGAGGTTATTTGTTGGGTCAAGGTCATCAGGAATACGAAGAGAGTTTCTTCTTCAGAGTGAAACAACTTCTTTATGGAGTTCCTCAAACATGTATTTGCTTCTGCCGCTTGAGATTACTCCAAATGATGATCAATGGAAAATCAATTGGATGGCTATTGATGCTTGTTGTTCTTCAGTAGAATTTTTGAAGAAAAGTTCTTTGTTGGGTGTTGTAGGGCATGAACTTAATGGAGACAATATATTGCCCAATAGAACTTGTTCACATGAAACAAACTGCAAGGTAGAAAATATGATCCACTTTGCTAATGATTCAGTTGATGCCAATAAACTTGAAAATATGGTAGTACTGGCTATTCATACTGGAAAAGTTTACTCCATCCTTGAATTATTGAGTGATACGTCTTCTGAGAGTCCTTTTGATGGTAATAATGATGCTGCCCAACCTGAGTATTCTAGCTTTACTGACTACTTCAACAAAAAGTATGTTATTTTTATCTTTATGTTTATGTATTGCTGGATAGCTTTTTACTGTCCCAAAGATGACATTATCTTTGTTTAGGTATGGAATTGTTTTGAGGTGCCCAGGACAACCTTTACTTCTGTTAAAGCAGAGTCATAACCCTCACAACCTTCTTGTGAGTTTTTGTGATGAAGGTTTGTTAGCTTTTGATCATAGCATCTGATTTAACAATATTACTGTATTGGATGTGTATATGATTTCTGATACTCTCCCATAACCGAGCAGGTGCTTATTCTACAGTGCAGTTTCATATTCGTATGCCACCTGAGCTTCTATTGAGGATTGATCTCCCAATAAGCGTTCTAAAATCAATGTACTTACTGCCATCATTAATGCACCGTATTGAGTCACTGATGCTGGCCAGCCAACTTAGAAAAGAGATTGATGATTGTTCAAGCAACTTCAATATATCAAGCTCATTGGTTTGCCCTGCTTTTTAGATCATTATTCTATATTCAGCCATTTTTTGGTGGAAAATTCCATCTAATAACTAATCTATTTCCCTTTTGGCAATTAGATTCTGGAAGCACTAACAACGCTTAGGTGTTGCGAAAGTTTTTCTATGGAGAGACTAGAGCTACTAGGTGATTCTGTCCTAAAGTATGCTGTGGGCTGCCATCTCTTTCTTAAATATCATGAGAAAAATGAAGGACAACTATCTTCACAGCGTTCATGGGCTGTTTGCAATTCAACTCTGCATAAATTGGGAACAGATTGTAAATTACAGGTAGGCATGAAGGTGCCTGCCCCTAATTTTTCCAGTTACTGATATGAAAATGTATTATGCTAATAATGCTGAATGCTAATAAGTTATGTTGCTTTGTGCTTCTTAATTGACAGTTATATATAAGAGACAGTGCATTTGATCCCCGTCGTTGGGTTGCTCCAGGACAGCAATCTCTACGGCTGGTTCCTTGTGACTGTGGGGTGGACACTTCAGAAGTTCCTTTAGATCCTAAATTTCAAACTGAAGACCCCAAAATTAAGGTAGGCAAATGCTGTGATCGGCATCACAGATGGATGGTTTCGAAAACTATATCAGACTGTGTTGAAGCACTAATAGGTGCATACTATGTTGGTGGTGGACTGATGGCTGCACTTCATGTAATGAAGTGGCTTGGAATTGATGCAGAACTTGATCCTACACTAGTGGTTGAAGCCATTAATTGTGCATCTTCACAATCTCATGCCCCCAATACTGATGAAATATACACTATAGAGTCAAAGCTCAGGTATAAGTTTTCTGTTAAGTTTTTCTTGCAGGAGGCGATTACACATACATCACTTAATGAATCCTACTGTTACCAGGTACAACAGAAGTTCTCTCCTAATTTTAACTTGGTTTTGTGTGGTATAAGTTTTGAATGATTGATCATCTATAATTTGTTTGTTTTGTAGTCTAACCTTGCACATGATATTATGATCCCTCCTCCTTCACTTCTTGGTTTTCTTGACAGAGGCTTGAATTCCTTGGTGATTCTGTGTTGGACTTACTTATTACCAGGCATCTCTACCATAAACATACAGATATAGATCCTGGAGAGCTGACTGACTTGCGCTCAGCATCAGTTAATAATGATAATTTTGCCCAAATTGCTGTGCACCATGACCTTCATAAGCATCTTCAACACCGTTCGATCATACTATTTAATCAAATAGAAGAGTACATAAAGTCCTCTGATTCTTGTGATACTTCTGGCTCTGGTCCCAGCATAAAAGGTCCCAAGGTAAGTTAATAAATTGATATTCATTAGAGAAATATCTGACTCATTTATTTGTGTTTCTGATTGATTATTGTTCATGTTTGCTCTAGGCTCTTGGAGACCTGGTTGAAAGTATAGCTGGGGCAATTTTGATTGATACCAAGCTTAATCTTGATGAAGTTTGGAGAATATTTGAACCACTTTTATCTCCGATTGTGACACCTGATAAACTCATGCTCCCTCCACATCGTGAGCTTATTGAGTTATGTGACTCTCTTGGCTACTTTATTAAGGAAAAATGTGTAACTAAGGGGGAAATGGTGCATGCCGAGCTTAGGTTACAGCTTGATGATGTTCCTTTGGTAGGCAAGGGGCATGATCAAAACAGAAAAGCTGCAAAAGGAAAAGCAGCTTCACATCTCTTGAAGAAACTTGAGGTATATGTTTGTTACTGCATATCTTGAATTATATAATGTTTCATCTCCATATAAGCTGACATTGAAACTTGTAATGCAAACAGGATAGAGGAATCAGGATGAGGAAACAGGGTCCCAATAACTTTCCTAATTCAAATCAAACAACAAATAATGACTCTATACAGCCAGCAATCCCAAAAAAGCAAAAGAAAACTGGAATCCAATTGACTACAAATTCGACTGAAGCCCTCTCCCTTACAGATGATTCTTTTAAGGAAGCATGGAGTCCTGGCACCACCCCAGGTATGCACTTGTGTTTATTTCTCTTCTCTTTTTCCCTCTAATTGATAGTACTCAAGTCTATTCACTTATTGAGAGTAGCAAGAAGATAACAAATTACGTCTTCTTGCCAAGCATCTAATGATTTTCTGTATGGATATTTCAAAACATTGAAACCCTTAGCCACCTTGTTCTGCTATATTTAGGCTTATTATTTGAAATTTAGATAAA